TCGATTCTTATTCATCCCTTCACCCCACTGTGGTACAGGGTACAGGCAAAAGGAAACGAGATAGACACATGGTTCCTCTTGAGAATATGCATAGAATAACTTTCTGGGTCGATTTATGAATGTCCGTCCATGTTAAATTGTAAACAGGTCGTATTTTTATTCGAATTGGATGAAATTTAGCACAGCTTATTTATTTAGCCCAAGGACGAATCCTATTGAAATTGTAAAAAATTACATGTTTATTGATTGATATAAGTCGGTTCACAGCGGTCCTTCAAAAATGCGGCGTCTGTTGAGATGCATCTGTTAGATATACAGTTATTAAATAAAAAATAAAATAGTTTTTATACCCTACACAACTATGTTGTCAGCGTATTATATCTTTGTGCAGCCCCAAGAGTTTGTAACGCCGCGAAATATTGGTCCTAGACTCACTTTTAAGTATACCGATCGTCATATCTCGACTAGCTAATTTGATCTAGACATGTGTAACCGTCCGTCCGTCCGTCCGGCCACAGTTATGGACCAATCTTCACGAATTTTTGCATGTAGGATGGTTCTGGTCAATGAAGACCCCTATTTTATTTTTGGTAAAGATCGGTTATTTTTGTCTGATTTTCTGGTCGCTCCAGAGGCCCAAACATCGCGAATGGAGAAGGAAATCGGGCCAAAGAATAAACGTACCTGTTTTGATAAAGATCGGTCAATATTTAGCGGGTTTAATGGACCCTGACTTTTGTGTGAAAAATGACAAAATTTGTATTCGATAGCGTATATATTTAACCCTGAAAGACATAGACCCGAGTCTATGATAGTATATCAAAGAGGAGTGGTTGATCTTTAAATTCAGGTATGGTCAAAGACAACGCCTATAATTTTCGGTGATAATCAGATAATAATTTTGCGATGAAGTGGACCGAAAACTTATTTTTTCGTCGATCTATAGGCCATAATTGAAAGCTGAATATAAAAACACAACCCATGGTGAAGAGAATCTGGACAAGTAATTAGAAGGGCTGTACTGAATATTAGTGATATTCGGTAAATATGTCAGTGTAAGGAAGAGGCGCTGTTGACCTCTAATCCCCAAAGAGGGTGCAACTATCACGAAATAATGCCCAGGCTCGGAATAAAAATCCGCAGAAAGTTAGAGTTCCGTGGTAGTTGTGTAGGGTATGGTCGGCACTGTATTGCTCCGTCCGACTATACTGCTCCGCTCACTGGTTAAATAAATTTTTTTCAGGGACTATAACAGGCTGGCATTTTGTATTGAAGTTTGTTTAAGGACCAATCCAAGTGTGGACTTTTTCTAAGAATATTTAATGATTTTCTAAAGACTATCTCCAATTCTAGGACTATATCGATTTTTACAGGAAAATTTTCAAGGACTATTCTATGAACTATCAGAGCTTCACTAATGTATTTTGTAAATAATATTTTTTAAGGAACATCGGAGCTATTAAAGTGGATTTTTTGGAGGAATAATATTTCCAAGGGCTGTTCCTATTGTAAAAAAATATTCCATTATTCATGAGTTTTAGTAGGTAGATTCAAAATACCAAGTGACAGTCAATTCTGTTGTAAATTTGCTCATACTTTCCAAAATACCAAAATCTGGGTGAAACTGTAATCGTAAAAAGTGGCCTAAAATCGATAATTTTCGGTAGGTAGATGTGATCCCAGTGACAATCAAAAATATCAAATTACAATTAATTCGGGGAGAAACGTGCCGATAATGAGAAACCAAAAAGCCAATTCGATTGAAAAACGTGCCAAAAATCAGTCAAATTCCTAATATTAGAGGGCACTTTTATATGGGGGCTATATAAAAAAGTTGGCCTCTTAAACGAGCCTGTAGATTTTGAACCCGCCTTTCAACCAAATTGATTATAATTCAAAATTAATTAAGGTATGCCATAGGTTTAAAGCCATACCACAGGAAAATACGATTTCATGCTATTCTTATTTTAAATACTGCCAAGAAATTAAATATTTAGTTCTTTCTTATATTTGATTCATTTTATTTGATTTTTCAAAATCTGTGTTCTTTACTTACTTAGCTGGCTTGTTACAGAACGGTTGTTCCATAAGCCGAACTTAAAAAAGATTTCCAAGCGCGTCGGTCTTGTGCGCAGCTCTGCCAATTGGGAAGACCACGTTCCAAGATGTTGTTTTCTACTTGATCTTCCCATCTAATTCGTGGCCTTCCACTTCTACTGGAACCATCAGTAGGCTCATTTTTATATGCCTTTTGAGCTGGGGCATTTTCATTCATCCGCACAACATGGCCTAGCCACCATTATCGCTGCAGCTCAATACGACTGACTATGTCGATGTCCGCGTATAAATTGTAAAGTTCGTGGTTCATTCGACGCCGATATTCACCGTCGACGCAGATCGGCCCATAGATCTTTCAGAGAATTTTTCTCTCAAACACCCCAAGAGCTGCCTCATCTGCTTGCGCAAGTACCCATGCTTCTGATCCATATAATAGCACGGGTAGTATCAGCGTCTTGTAAAGTGTGAGTTTGGTCTGGCGGGAGGTGGCCTTGTTTCTAAACTGCTTGCTTAGACCACAGTAGCATCTGTTGGCCATCACAATCCTTCTCCGAATTTCAAAACTGATGACATTCGTTTTAAAGACTTTATTTATATAAAGTCTTTAAATTTTCAAACATATTAGTAGTTTGGTGTATCATTCAAAAAAATCAAATGAAACTATATATAAAAGCTATATCTAAATCTAAACCGATTTAAAAAAAATCGCAGACTTCAGTCTGGATCTAATGCAATACTCGGTGCAAAATTTGGTCCCGATCGGACAAATATAGGGAGTTTGGTGTATCATTCACAAAAAATCGGACGAAACTATATATGGGAGCTATGTCTAAATCCGAACCGATTTTAATAAAACTTCGCAGACATCAGTCTGCACCTAATTCAGTACTCTGTGCCGAATTTTGTCCCAATCGGACAAATATTGGGAGTTTGGTGCATCATTCACATAAAATCGGACGTAACTATATATGGGAGCTATATCTAAATCGGAACCGATTAAAAAAAACTTCGCAGACATCAATCCGAATATGATTCAGTACTCTGTGCAAAATTTAGTCTCAATTAGACAAATATTGAGAGTTTGGTGCATCATTCACAACAAATCGGACGGAACTACATATGGGAGATATATCTAAATCGGAACCGATTTTAACAACACTCTGTGCAAAATTTTGTGACAATCGTACAAATATTGGGAGTTTGGTGCATCATTCACATAAAATCGGACGACTATATATATGGGAGCTATATCTAAATCTGAACCGCTTCCAATAAAACTCCGCACTCATAAGCATTGACCTGATTCAGTGCGCTGTGCAAAATTCTGTCCCAATCGGACAAATATTGGGTGTTCGGTGTGGGAGCTGTATCTAAATCTGCACCGATTGTCTCCAATTTCAATAGGGTTCGACCTTGGGCCAAAGAAGTGAACTGTGCCAAATTTCATCCAAATCGGATCATAAATGCGACCTGTACTTTGTTACCAAAAATACAGGGACGGACGGATAGACGGACATTCGTAAATCGAGTCAGAAATTGATTCTATTCATATTCTCAAAAGGAACCATGGGTCTATCTCGATTCCATTTGCCTGTTAGAAGCATATGCACAAAGACATAATACCCTGTACCACCGTGTAGTGAAGGGTATAATAATAACAAAGATTTATGTTTTGACATATTTCGTCCTAGTTACGTTATGCTGGAGGTCTGAAATTTGGTATTTCGTTTTTTCAGAGGAACCCAAACTTCCGGGCATATAATGTACTCGATTATGGGCCCTAAATAAATGTTGAGACCGATTTTAGGTATTTTGGTGAATATAAAAAATGCCTGCAGACATCAATTTTTAAAGAATTTTTTGTCGATTTGACCTGTCTGTTTACCCCTCTGTTGAAACCATGATGGAGAGAGCAATATTTATTTAATATTTACCAGTACCAAAAATTGATCCTCCTACAGACCTGAGTGTCTGTAGTTAGGCATTTTTGCGTGTCTCCTCTTAAACGACTTCATCCTTTGGAAAAATCTCATTTTTTTCTTCGTTTTTTATTTATTATTTTTTTTTTTAATTCTCTTAGCCTTACTGCAATAGCATTGCCACACCCCACTGTCATCACAAATTTATAATTTTCTATATGTCCACATCGATTCCGCTGCCAAACTTAGTCAGTGAATTACAACTTTTTAACGATCTGCATGTGTCTGGCATTTTCCCCGGCACCCAGCACATTCTGGGCAAGAAGTTTCTCATAGGCTCTCCTTGCAAGGTGACAAAACATATGCCAAACACAAATCGCTACACACCAATTCGCGATATTCATATTTTAATCGCCCCAGGCGAAATGCAAATTTGTTGCATGTCCAGCCGAACACGACTCATGTTTTATGTAAATTACGCATGCGCCGTAACAAGCTGGGAAGAGGAAGAGCGGGACAGAAACACAAATCAATGAATGAATGAATGATCCAAGGTGGTAGGTTCAGTTCGATGGTTGGTAGTTACACACCATCTGGTGGTGGCAAGCGAACATGAACTAAATTAATATTAATTTGAATAACCTGAGGATAACATTTGCAAAGATATCAACATGGAAAATGGAGTTAAGAAAAAAAAACTAATTATGGGAAATTTATTTGCTAGCAACAAGTTTGTGTCTTAAGTCTTTTGTTTTCTATTAAATAACTATTTCTATTTAATAAAAAGAACTCAGAATATATCATAAATTAATTTACCAAGGAGTAAACTATTTTGTTTTTCAATAGAGTTTCCTTCTCCACATTTAACTTTACAAACCATTCAAATTCCTTGTTGCCATGGCCACCAGTTGCCAAACACAACCATACAACACGTGAAACCATGGAAGGCACAAACTATGTATGGATGGCTTGATTTGCAATATTTTTTTTTCCAGATGAACGTCAAGAATAAAGTTGTTAGCCATGGAAGTTATTGAATTTTTACAAAAAACGGACCATAAAAACCTCAAAAACTTCATTGGATTTAAGGTACTGTCGTGGTATTGGTGGACAACCGAAATTTAATTTTTTCTTTTAAAGGTCAAGCAAAAACTACAGGAATATGAATTGGATCTGCAGGGAAGACAAAATAGGTAAGAGACGCTTTAAAAATATTTTCCAAGGACAATAGGCGTGGATTTTTTAAAAGAATATTTTCCAAGGACTTTAGGCGTGGATTTTTTAAAAGAATATTTTCCAAGGACTATAGGCGTGGATTTTTTTAAAAGAATATTTCCCTAGGAATATAGGCGAGGATTTTTTAAAAGAATATTTTCCAAGGACTATAGACGTGGATTTTTTAAAAGTATATTTTCCAAGGACTATAGACGTGGATTTTTTAAAAGAATATTTTCCAAGGACTATAGGCTTGGACTATAGGCGTGGATTTTTTAAAAGAATAATTTCCAAGGACTATAGACGTGGATTTTTTAAAAGAATATTTTCCAAGAACTATAGGCGTGGATTTTTTAAAAGAATATTTTCCAAGGACTATAGACGTGGATTTTTTAAAAGAATATTTTCCAAGGACTATAGGCGTGGATTTTTTAAAAGAATATTTTCCAAGGACTATAGGCGTGGATTTTTTAAAAGTATATTTTCCAAGGACTATAGGCGTGGATTTTTTAAAAGAATATTTTCCAAGGACTATAGACGTGGATTTTTTAAAAGAATATTTTCCAAGGACTATAGGCTTGGACTATAGGCGTGGATTTTTTAAAAGAATATTTTCCAAGGACTATAGACGTGGATTTTTTAAAAGAATATTTTCCAAGGACTATAGGCTTGGACTATAGGCGTGGATTTTTTAAAAGAATATTTTCCAAGGACTATAGGCGTGGATTTTTTAAAAGAATATTTTCCAAGGACTATAGGCGTGGATTTTTTAAAAGAATATTTTCCAAGGACTATAGGCGTGGATTTTTTAAAAGAATATTTTCCAAGGACTATAGGCGTGGATTTTTTAAAAGAATATTTATCAGGGACTATCCACTACAGGTGTGGATTTTTAAAAAGAATGTTTTCAGGGGCTTTTATAGGCGTGGATTTTTAAGGAAATATTTTTCAGGGGCTATTATAGGCGTGGATTTTTTAAAAGAATATTTTTCAGGGACTATCCACTACAGGCGTGGATTTTTTAAAAGAATATTTTCCAAGGACTATAGGCGTGGATTTTTTAAAAGAATATTTTCCAAGGACTATAGGCGTGGATTTTTTAAAAGAATATTTTCCAAGGACTATAGGCGTGGATTTTTTAAAAGAATATTTTCCAAGGACTAAAGGCGTGGATTTTTTAAAAGAATATTTTAAAAGGACTAATTACAATCGGGGCTAAAGCTCTTCTATAACAAAAAAGACCTAATGCTCTTCTATAACAAAGAAGACCAAAAGCTCTTCTATAACAAAGAAGACCTAAAGCTTTTCTATGACAAAGAAGACCTAAAGCTATTCTATGACAAAGAAGACCTAAAGCTCTTCTATGACAAAGAAGACATAAAGGTCTTCTATGACAAAGAAGACCTAAAGCTAAAGCTTTCTATCTGACAAAGAAGCTAAAGCTCTTCTATGACAAAGAAGACCTAAAGCTCTTCTATGACAAAAAGACCTAAAGCTCTTCTATGACAAAGAAGACCTAAAGCTCTATGACAAAGAAGACCTAAAGCTCTTCTATGACAAAGAAGACCTAAAGCTCTTCTATGACAAAGAAGACCTAAAGCTCTTCTATGACAAAGAAGACCTAAAGCTCTTCTATGACAAAGAAGACCTAAAGCTCTTCTATGACAAAGAAGACCTAAAGCTCTTCTATGACAAAGAAGACCTAAAGCTCTTCTATAACAAAGAAGACCTAAAGCTCTTCTATGACAAAGAAGACCTTAAGCTCTTCTATGACAAAGAAGATCTAAAGCTCTTCTATGACAAAGAAGACCTAAAGCTCTTCTATGACCAAGAAAGCCTTAAGATCTTCTATAACTTATTTCCTTTTTATTCCAGACTTCGAAACATTTTGAATTTGGAAACAATGCAACAAAACGAAGAGCTTTTGCTACTGACTAAACAACGAGTGGAGTTGGCAAAGCAACAACGACTGGATTGGATAAACACAAAGCGCATAGAGCGACAACAGGCCGAAGAGGAACTTTTAAAGGTCAAGAAACTGCAAAGAGAATTGTAAGTTGTGTAGAGGTTCAGGAAACTTGAATCGATTTTCTTACACTTTTTTCAGAGAGAATTGTGAAGAATGGCTTCACCGTCAAAGTCAACAACTTCTTGTGGAAACCAAAGAGGCACAATTGCAACAAATCGCAGAAAAGAGAGCCCTCCTGGCCAGAGAACAAGAAATCGAAAGGAGTTGGCTCAAAGTGATGGAAAAGCTACGCCAAGAGAAAGAATACCAAGAAGTCTATGAAGAGAAATTACGCAAAGTAATTGAAGGATTAAGCCAACAAAAGAATTTAGCACTACTGGAAGCCAAGAAAAAACTGGAGCGCGATGAAAATGAAGCTTTGAAAAACTACTATACTGAAGAGTAAGTTTGGGAATGCACTAGCTTTGGGAAAATCATTAATATGTCTGTGTTCTTTTAGCAACATGCGTGCCCTGGCCTTGGATAAGGAAGGCAAAACCCAGCAAAAATTGGAAGAGATATATAAGAAAATGCAACAACAGCAGTGGTTGAAGGTGAGTTAGGATAAACATTCTTGGTATTAGGGAACTGCACTGTGTGATATCACCGATATATTAATTGAAATATGCCGTTAAAAGCTACGGGAGATTAGTAATGTATGTTTCCATCTCCCCCACTATTTTTGAAGTCTCAAATTGCAATTAATCAGCAACGCAACGCTTTACAAGCCGAACAAACATTCCAAGAGGATTTCATATTTCGAAGTCGAGAGGATGAACAAATATGCCAAGAACTGGACGAATCTCAAAGGCAGAAGGTGTGGAGAAATTTTATTGATTTAAATAATTTAAAAAAAAAATAATTCACAATTTCGTTAAAAGGTTCGCAATAAGGAATGGTACAAATTATATCTGGAACATTGTGCCAAAGAGAAAGACCAAAAGAAGAAAGTCGAAATGGAAGATGATCAAAGGTACCTGAACACCGGTTGTGTACTGCAACAGAAACCTAAACAACCATATGGAAAAATTAGTCGTTAAAAATAATTTTATCAACCAAACTTATAAAAAAAAATTAATAAAAAACCGGAACGATAGTAGCCTGTAGTTATTTGTCATAGAAGAGCATGTCGTAGCACCGTTTTGTCAACTAAATCATTCGAAAATATATGTCAACTACAGGTTGGGTTAGATTCGATTGAAAAGAATGTAAAATGTTATATGAATCAGCTTGAGATTGGTATCGAAACTTGTGGTAATTCTGTGTTTTTAGTAAAATAGTGCAGTCATTTCACTTAACATCCTCTCATGTCATTTAGGTCGTAAATGGTATTATTTACCATGACTTGGATTCGAAGGCATAGGTAATGATCCAACGTTTTGCTGTCATACCTACATGCCCAATCTTGATGAGATGGCCTGTGAGAATACCTCTCAGCCTGCTGACTAAGATTTGCCTAGCCTTATCTTCATTTAGGTCTCCCCATAACTTTACTTCTAGACGTGTTACACTGCGAGGTTTGTCGTTGTTAACATTTATAGCACGTTGGTCAGTAGGACTTCTAGAGAGTAGGTTGGCTTTTCTGTTAACTTCGATTCCTGTGTGACACAGCACCCATATCTCGAACCTCTACCTGAAGGATCGTGTTCTGGAAGTGAAAGCGAAGTAAAATTTCTTCAATAAAAAGTCCCTGTCCCTCATTTTCTGCTAGCCGGGAGCCAAACGTTTTCACAGTACATTTCTGTTGGCCAATGACCATCTGTCCGACATCAGAATTACGCATAATGTGATCACTCTGGATTCAGGCATTTGGTCTGATTCAAACGCCCCTACCCCGGAGTAGCTCGGCATTTGATGGGGCATATTCGGCACCATAGTCATAGCCTGGTAATTATCACCCCTATCAGTCAGGTTGTAATTCAGAACCTCTAAAGGTTCTATTACATTTTCTATTTTATTTTAATATGCGATTTGAAGTTTTACTCTTAAGGCTATATTTTCTAGCGCGGACGTTGACTTCTCAAGGTCACGCGCACTATCAGAAATTGCTTTTTTCTATCGCATTTTCGTTAACACGTTTGGTAGCGTGCAAATTATTAGCAGTTGAACACTGCTTCATAATATATGCGATATATTTTTATACCCTACATAACTATGTTGTCAGGGTATTATAGCCTATTGTTTTTGGAAAAGATCGGTTAATATTTAGGGGATGAAATGGGCCAAAAACTTTATTTTTGTCGGTTTTTCTGGTCGCTCCAGAGACCGCAATTATGGCCCAAACACCGCGTGCATGGAGAAGGGGATCGGGACAAAGAATAAGCATGCCTGTTTTGATAAAGATCGGTCAATATTTAGCGGGTCAAATGGACCCTGACTTTTATGTGAAAAATGACAAAATTTGTATTCTATAGCGTATATATTTACCCATGAAGAACAAAGACCCTAGAAGTTGATAGCACATCCAAGACGAGTGGTTGACCTTTAAATTGATACCAATTATATGGTCGTATGTACTCATATGTGGGAGTTACACTTAAATATTTACAGCTGCTTAGGTACTGATATTACCACACTGGAGGGCGGAAATATAGAGCTGATCGCTATGAAATGTTCCATGAGGTTCCAGTAGTGGTCAAGGACAACGACTATAATTTTCGTTGATGTACAGATAATAATTTTGGGAAGAAGTGGACCGAAGACTTATTTTTTTCGAGTCCATCTATAGGCCACAATTATAAACCGAACATCACAAACAACCCACGGTCAAGGGAATCTGGACAAGTAATTGGAAGGACTGTGCTGAATATTAGTAATATTCGGAAAATATGTCCGTGTAAGGAAGAGGTGGTATTTACCTCTAATCGGGTAAGAGGGTGCAACTATCACGAAATTTTGTCAGGCTCGGAATAAAAATCCGCAGAAAGTTTGATTTCCGTGATAGTTGTGTAGGGTATCGTATGGTCGGCCCCGTCCGACTATACTGCTCCGTTCACTGGTTTAAAATAATGTTAACAGTTGATTTCTTTCTACATTTTTTTAATTGCTATTTTGTTGCATACTCAATGCCATTGCTATTTAAAGGATGAAAATAATCTGAATAATTTTACCGTTATTTTTTGTTTGCTTTTCTCTTATGTTTCCTTGCAAACTAATAGCAGTTGAGTAAGAAAACGTGTAAAAGTGCATTGATATTCAGATTTTTAATTTGGTTTTGTGATCAGTATATTTTTGGTTTAAAATAATTTATAAAAAATCCAAATACGTGCACTTTTGGTTAAAAGGTTTTTGAAAAATGGGTCGCGGAACACATTGTACAAAAGAAAAACGAGAACTCATAGAAAAATTGATTTCTGATGGAAAAACTTACAAATTTATACGAGATGTGGTTGGCTGTTCTGCGAAAATGATCTCTAACGCCATAAAATGGTCTCCCAAAACAGAAACGCGTGGGCGAAAAAGAAAAATCTCTCAATTTGATGAAAAAAGAACAGTCAGAGATGAACAATCAGAAGACTCTTGCTGCATCACAATTTGTATGCTAGATCTCCCAGAAAAGTACCTCTACTTAAAAAAATAGAAAAAAAGATTAAAATTTGCAAAAAAAACTTGATTGGCCTCTGTTTAAGGGGCGTCTCGTCTGACAAGTGTGTTTTTTATACCCTTCACCACACTGTGGTACAGGGTATTATGTCTTTATGCATATGTTTGTAACAGGCAAAAGGAAACGAGATAGACACATGGTTCCTTTTGAGAATATGCATAGAATCACTTTCTGAGTCGATTTATGCATGTCCGTCCGTCTGTCCGTCCGTCCATGTATTTTTGTTAACAAAGTAAAGTATAAGTCGCATTTATGATCCGATTTAGATGAAATTTGGTACAAGTCACTTATTTGGCCCAAGGACGAACTATTGAAATTGGGAAAAATCGGTTCATATTTGGATATAGCTCCCATATATATTTCGTCCGATTTAAGGTAAATGGGGCACCAAAGTCCCTCAATATCTTTCGATTTGCACGAAACTTGGCACAGAGTACTGAGTTAGGTGCAGAATGATGTGTGCCAAGTTTCGAGAAAATCGGTTCAGATTTAGATATAGCTCCCATATATAGTTTCGTCCGATTTAAGGTAAATGGTGGACCAAAGTCTCTATATATCTTTCGATTTGCACGAAATTTGGCACAGAGTACTGAATTAGGTCCACAATGATGTGTGCTAAGTTTCGAGAAAATCGGGTCAGATTTATATATAGCTCCCATATATATTTTCGTCCGATCTATTGTAAATGGGGCTCCAAAGAGCCTATATATCTTTCGATTTGCACGAAATTTGGCATAGGGTATTAAATTAGTTCCAGAATGATGCGTGATAAGTTTCGTGAAAATCGGTTTAGATTTAGATGTAGCTTCAATATATATTTTCGACTGATTTAATTTAAATTTTGCACTAAAGGCCCAAAGATTGGCCGATCGGCACAGAATTCAGTACACTGTACTGTTACTATAACCTTTCGTGGGTCAAGTTTTCTTGAAGTTGGTTCAGATTTACATCTATATATATCTATATATATTTTCGTCCGATTTTAACTAAATGGTACACTAAAAAAATTAATAAAAATTAATATCTAGCAAGTTTCTTTGTAATCGGTTCAGATTAGCGTCCATATATCGACGCCTCCGAACCATAGTATGCTAAGTCGACTTAGCATGTTTTAAAGTTCTTTACGTTTTTAGATACTACGGTCCATAATTTATATTCTCTGAAATTTTGGTAACCATCGGCCAATCCAAACCAAAGTTAAAAGCAAAAATGTACTTAGCATGGCCCGTAAGATATATGAAACTTCCATACTTTGAGAGTTTCTACTGAAAAACTCACTTTTCAGACTTAGCATACTATGGTTCGGAGCCGTAGATATAATTTCAACCTATTCGTGTTGACTGTACACAAAGTAATCGCTTTAGAAAACGTCTGTTAGGATTCATATGTAGAATATCCCCAAAGTGGTGAAGGGTATCATATAGTCGGCCCAGTCCGACTTTACTACTTTCCTTACTGGTTATGGTTATAAAAGTCGTCGTCAATATGTTAGACGAAAACCTAATATGGATTATAATCCACGAAATGTTTTAACCACAGTAAAACATGGAGGTGCGAAAATAAATGTTTGGGGGTGCTTTTCATACTATGGCACCGGCCCTTTACTTTGGATAAAGGGAAACATGGATGCCCAAATGTATGTCGACATCCTTGAGAACGTTATGAAATATATGCTGAGTGTAACATACCTTTAAAATGGGTTTTCCAAAACGATAATGACCCGAAGCATACCAGCAGAGCTACCAAAGCCTGGTTTTTTAATAATGGTATAGATGTTATGAAGTGGCCTGCCCAATCTCCTGACCTCAATCCCATTGAAAATTTATGGACGGATGTTAAGGAAGCCGTATACAATGCTAGAACAAACAAATGAACAAGAATTGTGGAACGTGGTGGAATCGGCATGGAAAAATATTCCTTTGGAGAGATGCCAAAAATTAGTAAACTCTATGGCACGACGGTGCAATGATGTAATAAAAAACAAAGGATATTCTACTAAATACTAGCCATAGATATGAAATAATGTAAAACATTTGACGCAGAAAAAATATTACCCGGATTTACCTAATATACCTAATTTTTTGCACTGACATTTTTCGTTGATATTTAACTTTTTGTTGTTTATTTACATTAGTTTTGGTAAATGATCTTTGGTTTATAATTTAATTTAAAGACAACAAAGCAACTAATAAATAACTGAAAAAAAAAAATAAAATTCGTCTGTTTATAAATCAAGAACACCTTAATTGTATGTTCAATATGATAACTGCTACTGTATTGTAATATCGAACCATATTAAAGGACTATTTTTAAAGACAAACTCAAAAACATTTTAAGGAAAAATAATATAACACTATTGGTCTGTTCCCGTACTGCAAGAATCTACTACTTTTTACAACGATAACGAATTTTCCTTTATGATATCGAAGAAAATAG